TTTGGAACATGCAGCATAACATTGTTATGTAGTCTTCCATTTAAAATAATGTTCTCAAATACTTGGCACACCCTGTAAATGCTTCTCTTAGAAGAAAAATTGAAGGAGATATTTAGAAAGCAGCAAAAATATTTGATGCACTCTACTGGAGTTAAAGGATGGAAATCCTAACTAAGTATTTCTTACTGAGTTAGGTTGCAGATCCAGTAAGCAAAACCCTGGGAATTTTTAACATATAAAGGGCTGAATGTTTTCACTGTTTTCTCATATTTCTTCTAATCAAGGTTGAAATGTACTCGTATTTAATATAGACCTGACTTTACACATGATATCTATTTGTTATTATTGTTACTGTTATTGCAATAATACTTTTTTCTAAAAGAAAATTTTGTTGTTGTTGTTATTATTGTTTGTTATTTATAACAATTTGGGACTGGAATTGTTTGTTTTTTTTTTGTTTTTTTTCCAGTTGGGATTTTTTATTTTTTTAATCAAAAAAAACAAAAAACAAAAAATACCTCCCTATTTCTTATATACCATCAATATACAAGTAAGCTATCTTGTTGGCTATGCCAAGACAGTAATTAATTTCACTATCACTTATGAAATGTCTTTTTTCACTGTCTGATTCACTGGTAGAGTAAAAAAGAAAATTAGAATTTTAAAAAGATCACAAAATTTTCTCCAAAGAATATATACACACACTTTTTTCATAAAAACTATTTTAAAACATCAGGATATTGTTTCCAATGTGCTGTTTAAGTAATATTTATTATCAGCAGGCATAAAGATCACTTTTTTGTGAAAATATGCAGACCTCGATTTCATTAATAAAGTAGAAAAACTGGTTAAGATTTAGTTAAATGATCTGTTGCTTTTTTTTTTTTTTTTTTTTTTTGTATGAAAATATTTCTTTCTGTGCTCTGAATGAATGACATTTATTTCTTCCAGAAATTAACTTTTAACTTTTCAAAGTTTTTTTTTTTATGCAAATAACTAGTGTTTTTTTTTTTTTTTTTTTTTTTAGTTGTTGTTAGTCCATAACACATAATTTTAGAGTACAGAATCTTAAAACAAACAAAAACAAAGTTGTATTTTTTTTCCCTGCACATATGGAAAATGTTTCCACAGTATCTGATTAATGTATAATATATATGGTCGCATCTGCTTAAGTAGGGCAGCTTTGTGTGTGGCAGTTTTGATTATTCAAAAATTAGCAAAACTGTCATTCACTACATGTTATTTGGCATTTCTACTTACAGAGGATATATAAAAATACGAATGTTCAATTGGTGGATTAAAATGAGGTTTACTAAGATATTAATGTAACCCAAGATCCCCCACATTGCCACATCTGCGCTGTCCATGTTTGAGGATGGATCATGATAGCATTACTTGAAATCGAGCCACAGACTCTGTGTGTTTTATATATATAATATATATATATTAGTTTTAAAGTGTGTTATATTTATGGGATAAAGTGCTCAATATTGGAGATAGAGTATGTAAATATAAATATAAAAGTGAACATTGAAGTCAAAACTCAGTGTTGACTTCAATGTTCACTTTTATATTTATATAATATACATGCATACATGTATGTATAATGTGTGTAAAAATTTAAGATAGAGTATATCTAAAAAAAAAGTTATCTTAGCCGATGTGTTTCATCTTTTGAGAAATTTTATCAAGCCAAATTATCACATTAGCCATGTTAAGGTCCCTCAAAAGATGAAATACGTCAGCTAAGATAATCCTTTTTTTTTTTTTTTTTTTTCATGTGAGAAATATCTAATTAAATTTACAATTAATCATTGATATGAATTAGAAAATTTAATTTTATACAAATCAATGGAAAGTATTAAATATAATGAATATAGCTTTTTCCTCCAGATCCATTTTATCTTTACTATGTCAACAAATCTTTCTTTGTGAAAGTTAAATAATGTGCCTATATGATTCCAGAAAAATCAATCCAAGTCTTAGAAAAAAAAAGAAAATGTCTAGAATCTACTCACATGAAAGGGTTCTAAAATCAACATCAATAAACATTAGTTATAAGTGGGGAACCTTTTAAAAAGTTGTATTTTGAAGGCGCTTATTAATGTTACAAATTTCTCAAGAATGACTTGCATCCATATTATGCAGTTAGAAATAGGATTGTCATTATTTAAAAATACTAAGTATACAAATACAACAATAATTGCAAAATAAATTTGGAATGCACAATTTATTATATATTATCACAGTTCAAGTATACAAGGTTTGTCCAGAATGTATCCAGCCATTTTGAATATCTTTAGAAATGGTTGTGCAGCTTGATGTAACTAGGCAGCTAATCAGAGGGAACCTTACTGCACATGCTTGAATAAACACTTAGTTGACAGACACCACTGAATATTCTTGTGTACTATGTGACCATCACATTCAAAAGGATCAGGTAATTTTTATTGTGTCTTGTGTAGAGTTTTTGGCATAACGTTGCATCACTGTCAGCCTCCTCTTCCCAGATTTTTTTCTTCTGTCTTTTCTCAATTCTGTTAAAATGCTGTGATTAAGATTAAAGAGAATGTGATGTGACAGCTGATGGTGGTGATCCTGTAAAAGGATTTTATAGGCTATTTTGAAAAGTGGATGGGATACTTTCATAAATATACAAGGTCTCAAGAGGAGTAAAGAAAAGTAAGCTGCCATTGTCTTCGGTAGACCTTCTCTCTTATGTTGATAATAAATGGTTGAATACTTTACAACAAAAATGTATCAAATTTGTCAAAATGAAAAAAATGATTTGGTAGTAACTGCAGTGCACAAAGGTCAACACTACACAGGTAAAAATATTTTTATTGAATCTGTGCTTTGAAGATTATGAAACAAGCAGGATTTGATTCAAGTTATAGATTTTGTTGTAAATTCTTGACATTGAGTATTCCCAGACAATTAAATGAACAGTTGAGTACCACAAAATTATACATTTTATAACCATTGTATTAATTTCTGGTCACTGACAATCTCCCTCTCCTTTCTCTTCCCTGATTTTAATGCATTTGTGAAGGTAGACACAAAAACCACTTTAGTGCAATAAAGAGATATTTGGTGTTGGACTTTTCCATGTACCAGACTCTTCTTCCTCAATTTTAGGGTCTGTCTTACCCAAAGAAAAAACAAGTCTGATCCCAACCTCAAAGGACCAGGGAGTAGATACTGTTCTAATTTGCAACTCAGTTCATTCTACTAAAATAAAAAAAAAAATCTTAATCAGATTATTTCTAGGAGTGAATTATTCAGATAAACATTCTCATTTCTGTAGGTTTTATTACATTTTGGGTGATACATTCTTTGGTCTGTCTTGGATGCATAGTTTGTTTGGTAGGAAAGGGATCCAACAGCAGATAGTTCTAGGTTTGGGTACTATAAATTCCTGCAAGCAGCATTAATATCTAGTAAGACTGGGAAAAATTCAGATAAATAATCTTTCCTCACACCAGGACTAAAACTATCTAGAAGTAAATTATAAACCTGTAAAATGCATTGATCAAAATATAGTGGACATTTTCCACAACCCATTAGATTGTTGTGGTCTCATGCAAAGTAATTTTCCTTCATGGCACTTCTCAGGGTAATGGGGGTTATTTGGCAATTCCCATCTTTTGAAGTGACATATTGGGGTACAACAAGGAAAGATCCTTGACCTCTTGTTGAACATCCAAAATGTAATGCTTTGTAAGGGCTAAGTGAATTCATGCCTTTTGTGCAAAGTGAACACACTGTCTCAGCTGTAGTTTGAACTACATTCTCCATGATGTTAATCATTAGGCCAGCCCCAAAATATAGTTGTAGATCCAACAAGAATGAAAACACAAATTTAAATAACTCAAAGATAATGGCTTATTTCAGACAAATATTTATCATTTTTAGGATGTTTTAAAGTTTAGTTGAGTCCATTAAAAACTACAGTTTTAAGTCAATATAATTTTAATTTTTCTTAATGAAAGATGAATAAACTTTAAAATGTGAATGATCACTCCATGATGTATGCATGACTCGTTGCTCTTTACATAAGATGTGTTTGTATTCCCTCCCCACAATCTGTTTACAATTGATATTTGTATGCTAAGTTGATATTCTATGTGAATATTTGAACTTTTTTTTTTAAGTTGTCTTTTTTTAGTTTTCACTTCTAACACAAAAAAGAAAATGAGAGTAAATCTGAATTCAACAATTGTTGAGGAAACTGTCTACTTAGATTTATAAACTCATTTTCACTTTGTGAATAAGAAATCATGAAGATGCCTTGTAACATACAGATGGAACTTGTAGACTTGAGAACAAATTCATTATGCAAAATGAAATTTGACAGGCTTCTCTCAGTCCCAAATGTTTGACATTATTTATCTCTGACAATCATTAACCTGTGAACATTTTCTAACTAATAAAAAAACTGATCAAAATTTTCCATAAGTGAATGACATAGATACAAACAAGCATTTTCTGCTATGATATTGATTTAAAAGAAAAAAAAAATGAGATCATTATTGAGTAATTAAAATTTAAAGAATTCTCTGCTGTTCTTAAAAATTAATTTAACTTAGTTTTGCAAAATGAAAACACTCAAATCTTATTAAGGAATGTTGCACTCATCTTCTTTTTCTAATATATCAATGAATTATATAAAAATGGAAAAATTATTTATATTGATATTTTTACAAGAATTAATGTAATTTGTATGAATTTATATGTAGAAAAATTGGTATATGGCATGTAAAAGGTTGGCCATTCCTGCTTTGAAATATTCTTGAACAAATTAGAATGATAAAGTAGTTGGTGAATCTAACAAAAAAAAAAAAAACAGCTTAAAAAATGATATGCAAAAAGCAATCTTGTTATTACATTGTACCAATTGCTTTTTTTTTCTTTTACTGATATTAATATTTTATACAATATTTTTAGTATATCACACCAAACTGTTTCAAAAAATGTTTTGATATCTTGTAATTTACTCCTTATTTCTTCTTTTTCTTGGCAATTTTCTTCTTTCTCTTGGAACCAAATTTCTTTTCTTCTGCCCGTTTCTGTTTCCATAAAACCAATTCGGCTCGTTCTAAAAAATACAAACAACAAACTAAATTACTGCAAATCTATCTCTAAATAAATAAACCGCAAAATCTGTCTGTTTGTCTGAAATTCCTCTAACTCTGGCTACACTTGCTCTGCATAGACATACCTTTTTTGGAATCCAAGTGATTGTGGGATTGAAAATCCGCCCTTAATCAGCATTGGGATTTGTGTCCAGATGATGAGGGAACAGTTAAAAAAAATCAGATTTTCAAATAACTGAAAAAGTTAGTGAGTTTAAAATTTTTTAAATTTATGTTGAGTTTAAAGTAATGCAAAAAAACTGAATTGAGGAAATCATTTTTATTTCTTCAAAATGTCAAGGAATCAGTTAAAGCAAGATTTTTTGTGAGTTGAAGAACTCCACTCAGTTCCACAGAGTTTGTGAGTGGAGTTGAAGAACTCCACTCAGTTCCACAGAGTTTGTGAGTGGAGTTGAAGAACTCCACTCAGTTCCACAGGTTTGTGGAGTTGAAGAACTCCACTCAGTTCCACAGAGTTTGTGAGTGGAGTTGAAGAACTCCACTCAGTTCCACAGAGTTTGTGAGTGGAGTTGAAGAACTCCACTCAGTTCCACAGAGTTTGTGAGTGGAGTTGAAGAACTCCACTCAGTTCCACAGAGTTTGTGAGTGGAGTTGAAGAACTCCACTCAGTTCCACAGAGTTTGTGAGTGGGTTGAAGAACTCCACTCAGTTCCACTCCACTCAGTTCCACAGAGTTTGTGAGTGGGTTGAAGAACTCCACTCAGTTCCACAGAGTTTGTGAGTGGAGTTGAAGAACTCCACTCAGTTCCACAGAGTTTGTGAGTGGAGTTGAAGAACTCCAGAGTTTGTGAGTGGGTTGACTCAGTTCCACAGAGTTTGTGAGTGGGTTGAAGAACTCCACTCAGTTCCACAGAGTTTCACTCAGTTCCCCAGAGTTTGGAGTGGGTTGAAGTTCCACAGAGTTTGTGAGTGGGTAAGAGTTCCCCAGAGAAGGTTTTTGGCCAGTGGTTAGAATTTTGACCCAGTGAGGTTTTGAAGTTCCATAGAGTGAATTGAGAAATTCAAAGTTATTTCTTCAAAATTATCATTGTTGTTTTCTAAGCTGGACCAGAGGTCCCTTTAGTTTTGGGCTGGAGGCTCAATTAGCCCTCCACAGGAGTTAGCTTAAAAGTTTGCACAGAGTACAGCTTTTAAGCTAGTATCAAATAAATGTTTTCTTGCCAAATAAATCATCATTTTATTCTTTTAAGGTATCATGAGATTATAATTTGCCATAGAAATGCAAAAATATATTAAAATTTATTACATAGATAGAGGGCATGTTCAGCATTGGACATTGAGCATTTTTATGTATAGACATTGTGGACATAGGAATATATCCACACACACACTTGATATAGATTATAACAACTTGAAATGTTCAGACAGTAACAACTGAAAGCATTTACATCTACACTCAACCTCAGCAGTGGAGGTCAATCCTCCATTGTCAATAATTTTTCTTGGTGAAAGAAACTTCACATATTTTCTTCTTGTGTCTTTTCAGGACGTAGGCAATCATGGCTTGCCATAGATTTAATTTTAATGTTTATGAATTGCCATAACTTGTTAGGGAAAGATAGTGGTATAGTTTCTTGTTGCCTTCCCTGTGGTTTTAAGTTCATTGTTTCCTTCCCACACAAGGTTTGAGAGCCCAATTTGTCCTTTTATTTAACCCATAGTGGTGGGAAAATTCAACCAGCACAGCTGGAGACAAATCAACTAATTGCCGAAGCAAGGATATTTACCTTACCTCCCCACAAGGCAGGATGTGGCACAAGGCTGTTTTAATGCAGGGTATAACCGAGCCCATAGGCTCATGCAAAAAATTCCCTGTAGACCCCATATACACAGGATTGGGTAGCTGTCTACCACCCCAGATGAGACTCTGCCCTTCGGCATAGCCTCATTTGGGTTCCTTTCTGCCCAAAGCAGAGAGTTCAACCAGCACACCTGGAGATGAATCTCCAACTAATTGCCGAAGCAAGGTTATTTACCTTACCTTCCTGTGAGGCAGGATGTGGCACAAGGCCAATTTTAATGCGGGGCAAAACTGGGCCCGTAGGCTCGGGCAAAAATTCCCTGTAGATACTGTATACATGGGGTCAGGTAGCTGTCTACCACCCCAGACGAGACTCTGCCCTTCGGCATATCCTCGTATGGGTTCCTTTCTGTCTTCAGGCAGAAAGTTCGACCAGCACAGCTGGAGACGAATCTCCAACTAATTACCAAAGCAAGCCTGCCAGGTATATCCTGTGCTTACTATATATATCTACTGATATAGTCAGTCCACAATAGGCAATAGAGTGGGATATTCCTTTACAACAGTTAGAGTAAAGGGAGTGGAAGAATTTTCTTTTTATCATTTTAGTCCTGGCAAGGTAATAAAGTCACAAGAGATTACTGAGTGTAAGAGTATATGAAAAAAAAAACCATTTGAGGAGAGAGAACAATAAAAGAACAAGAATTAAGAAGACAGAAGATAACGATTGACATTGCACTTAAATTTTTAAAGATCAATGTTGACTGGAAAGCAATAGGCTGGAAGAGAGATCCACAATTAAGAAGTGCAATAGAAAAAACTGTTAGCATAGAACTTATTGTTACATTTCACTATTTCAACTGTAAAATGATGAGATCTTGTTGCCAATCCATAATTATTTCTGAGACTACATAATTACTGGGTGGGTTTCAACTGTTCATGGCTGACTGAGTATTGTTATATTTTCACTATTTTTATTGTACGAGTTTAAAAATGTGTTCTTTTGTAATTGCATTGGACTTGTATAATATCCCAAACTTTGTTACTGTGTTTTCTTGTTTATGTTCAATATTAAATTAAACCAAAAATAAATCTAAACAAAGATAACAATTGATCTTCTGCCTTGTCCATATATGATATGTGATAAATTAATTTTTAATATATGTATTTGTTATGTATTAATAAGTCTTGTAAACTACAGAGCCAGTAGTAATTTAAGAGTTCTGTTGGTTTCAAACTTTGGGAATGACTGCAAAATACTTTCACCTCCCCTTTTATAGGAAGACGCATACAAATGCATGCTGGGATTTTTTTTCCTAGCCAATAAAATAGGTCCATTCTTGGTTTCACCTGATGCAGTCCCAGTCTGTTTTGTCTTCAAGTCAGAATGCTACATTTGCTTATCCAAAGTTGTTTTTGTGCATCAACACCAATTCTTAGGTTGTGAACTTTTTGCCTTATTACTGTTGCTTTGCCTTATTATTGTTAATTTGCCTTGCATATATTGCTTGCTTTATATTATCTGTTGCCCTGTTTTTTTTTCTATTTATTGCAAACTTTGTCAATTCTGTTTGTTGGACATTTTTGTTACTTATTTTACATTTGACCATAGCCACTCACTCCACAAGTTCCTTTAGGACAATATTTCTAATATAAACATATAGAATTTCTATTATGTCATGAGATGAGTCCACTATGTATAAGTAGGTAATTTGTCCATCTTAATGTAGTGGACTCTTCTGATGATACAGAAAATTGTTATATCCACTATGGATACATATTTTGTTTTACATATGTAGATTATTAGTTTGGCTTCATCATTATTGGTATTGATTACAATGTTCTCGATCAGTACCTTCAACTGCTAAGGCAAACAATATAGAATAATTCTCTGTTTCATAATAGTTTTTACATTTGCATACACATTTTATACACTAAATGTAACAACTATTATGAAATGGAGATACTAATATATTCATGTATAATACTGTTTCATGTAAAGTAAAACACTTGTTTTTCCATACCAAGTAAAAAGCTCAAATATCTTTTTTTTCTTTTTTTTTTTTTTTTGTATAATACAAGCTCTACTTTAAAACAAAACCTATTACTATACCTACACTATACATACACCTATAGCAGAATGTGTACTCACATGACTTGACTCATTCTAGAATTCATGGTCCTGGGTCACTTGGTTTAAGGATCCAAGATTGAGTTATGTCTGATTATATTGCATGGCGTAGAATGCCATGTTATGTTGTCTTACCTTCTTCCCTGGGCTCTTCTGTTTCTTTTTCCAGGAATCATCTCATCAATGTATATTTTTTATACCCCCACTTTTTTTTTTTTTTTTTTGTTTCATTTGATGTAACCATATAAATTGTTTTATTCTTTATTAAGGAGACAATTGGGGTCAGACCAGTTGTGTCTAGAAGGGTTTGTATTCTTATGCGATCTGTTAGGCAGTTGTTGGTCATGAATCACATGATGTGATTCTGGGATGTTTTCACTTTCTCAAGACCTGTTATAGTCCAGTTGACAAAATCCAGGCCATAAAGCAGTACAGAAAGAATGTATTGAAGATCTTAGTTTTTATTTTATAGGGAATAGGAAGGATGTTAAGAGGGATTTTCTTTTCAAATACTGCCTAGCCAATACTGTCATTCAAAAATAAAGTTTGTGGCCAATTTATCTATTGCAAAAAAGAAAAAATAAATAAATAAAAAAAAGGGGCTATGCCAAAATTAGAAAAAAAGTTTAGGAATGTCTTTTTTTTTTTTTAAATATAGGAACCTAAGCTTTGCTTAGCGCAATATAAGATCACAAGTATTGAGCACTTAGGATAATATTCATCATAGTAATCATGGTCTCTGGGACTAGTTACTCTACTCATTAATTTTTACTTAGTCTGTCTATATTTTTGAGATGAGGTATTATGTACAGTATTTACATTAGTCGGACTATTGTCCTCATTTTTGTCGCCATATTTGTCACGTTTCGGCCGCCCCCTCAAGGTAAGGCTTCAAGAACACCAGAAAGCTGTAACGTGAGGGGAAGTAGAAAAATCAGGCGTGGCTGACCACATATGGAGAGAGAAGGGAGATCACCGCCCCTTGTGGGATCATGTTGAGATCATAGACAGGGAACACCATTGGAAAATTCATAAACTTAAGGAATCAGCACATATGCTAGGCCACAAAAATCTCCTGAGCCGACCAAGCATAGAAATAAATACAATATGGGAACCAGTAATAAGGAGTGCCAGAGAAAAGCAATGATAACAAAGTTGCAACATGAACTCTGGTAAAGACATGCAATGATAACAGCAAAATTGCAATATGAGCACTGGTAAAAAATGATGCTGAAAACATTAGGTTTATAATACTCAGAAGTTCATACCCAGATGTCCTGAAGGACACATTGGTTAGATCCAGTGACAGACCCAAAGAAGGTGAGTTCAATACCTGGTTAAGGCAGTGGAGAACTTTCAGAGGGAAAATTAGCAGGAGATAACTGATAACTGACATCCATCAAACATGGCACGTGGAACTAGAACAGTCTACCCCAGTGATCGAAATAAAGGGTTCAGTTCGAAATTCCAACCACCTGAAGAAGGCTGGAGCATACAACGGCCAAAACGTTGTGACAAAGATGAGGACAATAGTCCGACTAATGTAAATTTTTACTTAGTACAACACAACGACACAAGTGAAGAGGATCTAGTGAAAATCCAGTAGTAATGGGGTCTTTGAGACAAGCTTGTTAATCACCTTTTGGTAGACCCCCCCCCTTTTTATTTTTAAGTTTCTTCTTTGTTCGACTTCAGTTGAGAGCATAGTCCACAACCCCAGGGCCAACATACAGTTTTGATTTCAGAGTTGTCCATTTCCTAGGCTGGTTGCCAACCACAGATAAATATCCCATTCTATCATGCCATTTAATCCATAGCTAGGGAGATGAAAGAGATGGGTTCATACTTTTCCCGAGATTATTTGCAAAAAATAGTGAATGTAACAAAATCTGCCAGAATTTGAATTCTGATCAATGATTTCTCTTTCCAAGCTGATTACACCAATTTCACGTCCATTGCATATGTAGGCTGAGTCCCTAGTTTATGAAGCATATTCATATCTTAGTTTTATATATATATATATATATATTTAATTTTACTTTTTTGTCTTGTCTTGCAATGGCTAAATTGTTGGCCATTTTATATTTTTAATTTCACATATGTGCGCTGTTTACTTTGGATTTTTTTCGACAGCACAGTATAGCGCTGACTGTGAGAGAAAAAAAGATGCAATTCACATCACTTCACCAGAAATTTGGAAATGGCATGCTGGACTGCTTGACATTTGCACTGGAAACCCCAATAGGAAAATTTCAGAGTTTTCGGGTGTCAATCTGAGGTCATTGCAAAATATTCATAAAGAGTTGGATGATATATCCAGGTCAACATCATGGTGTTTGGAGTGATCACTAGTAATGGCGATGTTATGACTCCATTCATACCTCAGACGCAATATGGAGGTCTACATCAAGTGCCTTGAGGAGGTAGTGCTGCCCTGGGTCAAGAAGGTAGCTACTGGAAAGCACTATGTCTGACTCTGCACCATACTACACAAGCAGTAGAACCCAATCATGGCTGGCAGACGATTTCTGTGACCGCATCACCCCCTTACATCTGGCCACCTAACTCCCCAGACTGCAACTCCCTTGATTATTATGCATTGGGCACAGTTAAACAAGAAATCAACAAAACTCCTTGTAACACCAAAGATGAACTGAAAGAAAGGATTATAGCAGCATTCACCAACTTAAACAAAGGGACCAGGAGATGCTGGAGGCTGTGGTTGAAGCCAATGGCAATTTCATTGAATAAATTTACTCTTTAGTATTTCAAGATATTTTTGTGTAATTTTGGTAAATGTGTCCATTAAAAAGAGATGTCAGTGTTATTTTCATTATTGCATAATTTAGATGAAAATTTATCCATCGCACCATACAGCAGTTTACTAACCCCCAACATTAGAGTGAACTTTTCAGATATCCCATCCCAACATATTCTTCATCTTAATAGTTCCATCTAAATTCTCCCAACACTGGTTATTTTCATTACTATTTAGTCTATTTCTGTTTTTTATCTTTAAAAACTCTTTGAAGATATACTTCCAGGTTATAATTTTAACAATATTAGTGGTAATAGTAATACCAAAGAAGTAAATTGGTAACTGTGTGACCATTTATGAAAAAGTGTGGCTTATGTAAATAAGCAAAATTCTCCAACTATTTGAAACACGGGTTTCTCAGAGAATCTTTTTTTGTGTGCGATATGTAAATACAGTCATTAGCATGATTTTTGTGATAACCTGCTTTGGTTGATGTTAATAGGCAAAACTGTCTAAACATCTGAGACTTGATTCTGTTAGAATTTTCTAAATCATTCCCAAGTACAGTTTTTAGGACAACTTTTGTAATTAAAAATTTCTTTGAATTAAAGTTGTTTTTCTTTTATCTGTTTAGTCATAATGAAATTCAAAATGTCTAATTTACCCCCAAAAGAATTTATTTCCCTTTCTTCAATATTAAAATCACTGAACGAAGTGACTTGTTTGATCAAGTTTTCTAAACTTATTAAACAAAATAGGGTTTGGTGACAAGACTAGCATTTAAATTTAATCATTTGAATATTTTTATGTTTATGTTGAAACATTACTACTTGTCAGTTGCCATGTCTTATTGAACTAATGTCAGGATTGACTATGGAAGTAACAATAAGACATTTTGTCATGATATCTGGCAATGAGATAAAGCACAGTGTGAAAAGAATTCATAAGTTTTCCAAGTGTATTACTGAAAAGTCAATAGAAACAATTTCATTTGAACTTTGAATACTGATTCAACTTTCCATGTATTAGGCTACATTCATTTGCCATATACATACATACATACATACACCTTTATTGTAACTTTAGAGTAATTAATCGAAAGAAAAGCTCAAGATTGTCTAAAACTTTTTCATTATTACATGAACTATTCAGACTTGTATCCTCCCTTTTATTGTTTTTATTTCAGTTTTCAGGCATTATTTTAAGAGTTACTCAATTCTTTTCTCCTCTTCTAGAGGAACATAAATAAATGTATAACATTCATAAGCTGTAAATTGTATTCATATTGAGGAAATAAAAAGTACTGACTGAAATGTATTAAGTGCTGGATGTAAAAGACACCTGAAGAAGGCTGAAGAACATATCATTTGAAACATTGTCTTAAAAATGAAAATTTTAAAATTAACTAAAAGTCATCATCTATGATTTTGAGAAGTTGTTATTTATTTATATTTTTTTTTACAATGATGTTCACTTTGTACAAGTCCCAAGAGCCACTCCAGGTAGAAGCTTACAGAGTAAGAAGCACCATGCCACGCATGAAGATAATGCCACCAAGACCCAAGAGGCCACCAGAAGTGACAGAGAAGTTAAAGGCTTTGGAAGAAACTGGAAAGCCAATTCTAAACAGGAAAGAAGGGATAAACCTCTACTCCTGTTCAAAAGACTTGGGAGAAGTGTGAACCAGATGATAGGTGAACCTATCTACTCTTATTGTTTCAAAAGTTGTCAGATTATTCTTCGGGATATATTTGTTGTTTCCACAATATTACAGCTGATAACTGCCTTTAGGAGATTAGTTATGAACAGAAAGAAATGGTGGTTAATATACCATCTACTTCAGGTCATTTCCTGTAATGAAAACCATCTTTGAAGAAAAAAATTTTCTCTTATTATACAACATTAAATTAGTTGAAACATTGTGGCAATAACAAAAGATAATACAAAAAACGGATTCACTCTTCAGAACAATTGTTGAAATAAACTTCATCAGTCTCTTGATTGCTTCAATTGTCAGGAGGGGGGGGGCTTTAGAACAGAAGAAACTGACAACCAGGATGATCTGTTGGCGGTGGGTTCCAGGAGATCTGACATTGTCATGTCTGTCTACACTTTGATGATGATTGATCAGTTCTAGTGTTGATATCCACCATCAACAGTGCCTTGCATGGTTGTCTTGCAGAGGCTGTTATGCCATGTGACTTAATAAACTTATCTGACACTAAAATCTTTGAATTTTATGAGTATACCAACATTGTTTTAATTGTATGTTTTGAATCATGTATACTTTTTAAGATTTTGGTAAATTTTACACTTACTAGCAATTTGAAAAAAAATCTTACGAGCAATTTAAAAAATTCCTTACTAACAATTAAAAAAATAAAAAAGCAATAAAACGTTTAGTAATATTGATATTATTTAAAAAAATGCTTTATGTCACAGTTACTTATATCAAGTGAGATATTTACCAAGATTCTTTGTTGCTTGTTGAAGTTCCTTGTATTCTTTAGGAAACCAGTTCTTGGGATGACTTAATAAACTGTAATTGTAAGAAAATCCATCAGAAATACTCAAATTGGAGAGAAAAATAAGTTAATAAGAATAAGTTAACAACAGCAATGTGGGGCAATGTTTAACCTTCATGCCCACAAAAATAGTGTGTCAAAAGGAAGGTTTTTCTCTTGACACTGCTAATATATCTTCACTTCTCAGCAATGTTTATTGTTTTAAAGAGTGCGGATTAGAATTATAATAAAACCTGAACATTGATGAAAGTGAATGTATACATTTATTTTTGTTCTTGAGAATTTACAACAAAAATATTAAACACTATTGTTTATTTACAAGAATAATTTTATATTTACAACATTCTGAAAACTAATACAATGCTATAGTTATTTAAAAATTTATAAAGAAATAATTATGAAAACAATTTTTTATTCATAAACATTTACTAAATTATTAAAATATGTGAACTAACTATAAGAAAATCCTTGCTATTTACCATTTTATAAACATTGAATCAATTGGCAAATAGCTGATGTTTTGCCAACCATTCCAATAAACAATATAAGAAATAATGTTTATTATTTTTGTTGCCAATTCTAAAGAGCAAAGAAAATATATAAATTCACTTTCATATATTTAGATTTTTATTAAAATTCTAATCCTTACTTTTTAAAACTAAACATTGCTGAGGAGTGAAGGTAGTTAAAATAATAGTGATGTCAAGGGATAAAATGTCCTTTTCATTGCCCAATGTGGATTATTGTGTACTGGACCTTGTTACCATTTTCATTTTTAAACATCATAAATTCTTACTTCATAGATTAAAAAAACAAAACCAACAGAATTATTTTTTAAAGTCATTTTGGATTTGGTGCCTTAATTTGAACACAATAATATATTCTTTGATTTCTTCAAACAATTATTTTCATCTTTGGTTGTTATAGACACGTTTTGGCAGAGTACCCTTTGGTCTTCTTCAGGTGTCCATTATTTTTGGCTGATAATCTATATTTTGCTTGAGCTGATTGTTATTTTTGTCCCTTTCATGCTTTGTTTTCTTTCTGCTGAGCTGGAGTACATTAACTTTATTACCCAATGCAGAGATTGAACTCTTAACCATTAGGTGACTGCATTATTTGTTAACCAGTGCATGTACCCTCTGTGCATTTGTTCTGGAGGTGTATTTTAGAGCCTTTTAAATCCAGTGTCAGATGGTTTTAATGTTTATCATGGTGAGTTCATGTTGTTTTTGATAATTTCTTTTGACTTTTGGGATGAGGAATTGTTAATAAACTTTGATTTATTCACACTAGTGTTCTCCTCTTTGGTTGTGATAGATGTTTTTATTGACACTTTAAGTATGTCTACAATGATCCATTGTCTCTTTTATGCCTCAAAGTGTCAAGAACCAGGAGGCAAACTTCATCACAGTGTGATACATGATCTTCATAGATCAGTTAATAAATTCTTTTGATATTTTCTGGAGATTGGTCCCTCAGAACACTTATAATCTTGATTGGTCTCAAAACGAGCATGAAATTCAAAAACCAGCGTTTGGTCAAAGAAATATTTTGTACCTTCTCAGGCTAGCATTCTCGACTGACATGAAGTTGAAAGACTATATTGAATCCATTGGTTGGTCAGATGCTAAGAAAGTTGATTCACCGTATAATGCTACACAATTTTTCTCTCCAGAATCTATTTTACATATCTATATGTTGACCATTAGTCCATGCTTAGAATATTGCTGTGACATATGGTCTGGGGCTCCTGCTATATATTTAGAGATTCTTGATAAAATACAAACAAGAATCAGCAATATTATTAGTCCTGATCTGGCGTCTCAGATTCAGTCACTTTCCCACTGCTGTAAATTTGCTTCCCTGTGCCTTTTCTATAAATACTTTCATGCTAAGCTCTTCGCTATGGTACCTAGACTTAACGAATTTAAATACTAGATTGGCAACGAGGTCTTGTCAATTTACAGTTGAATTGGATAGATGTAATCATAAGTTCTTTGCCAACAGTTTCTTTTCTTTCACCTCTTGCTTGTGGAACTCTTTTTCATCTCCATTCTTTCCAGCCAACTTCTATCTTCAAAAATTTAAATGCAATCTTAGTCATTATCTACTGTCTTCTTGATTACTCTCTTTTTCTTCTTGCTTCTTAATATTGTTTCTGTTTTCTAATTCTTTCACACTCAGTAACCTCTTGTGTCTTAGTGGCTTCATTGCTTTGCTTGAGGTGAATTTGATTAAAAAATCAAAAAAGAAGCCTGATAAAGCATTTCATGGGTCTTGGTAGCAGATTTCCTGAGCTTCACGCAAGATTTAATGCAAGCACTTTGCTCCAGCTTGTAAGTTATTGTAAAGATTGCAGAGTCATTCCAACACAGCATTAGAAAACTTTACATAATAATTGAACACAAAACTAGACTGAATTAGCTAATTGGGTATCAATGCATGGTGGCTACACATGTTTCTGTCAAAAAATACACTCAGAACATGTACAGCCTAGGAAATTTCTGATACCACTTTGTATGAAGGAATATTACTTCCCAAAAATCAATATTCCAATGACCAATCACAAGAATACTGATTTTTGTAAAGTGAGCTAGAACTTTTCAGCATCCCTCATACTTCATTAATATGACATAACATATTGCTACATGAATTCTGTAACTACTTATACTGGATTTCAAGTAGTACAATTTAATTTTTCTACCTTGGTAGCATACATTGGTTCTAAATATTTATACCTGGTGCCATTAAATGTAGTTTAGACATCATATGCTAAACAACATTGGAATTTAAAAATGTCACCACCCATGAAGAAATGAGCATAAATTATTGAGAAACTTAGAAATGTATTTGCAAGTACTAGCAGTGAATCATACACTGATTTAAGACATTTCATAACTGTTGATAAAATTAGTAAAACAATACTTGTCTTGGATCTGCTGACAAGATATTTCATCAATATGATATCCCATATTAATGCTGTGATTCCTATATACTCTCATCTTGAGTTACTAAATTAATGTATTTGATATTTCTTTCTATATTTCTGAATATTGTATCTATTTACACTATTTATATTGTTCAGACTGTTGTACTCAACTTTGTTGTCATATTCACATTTCATCTGTTGTATACTTCGACTTTTTTCAGGTAATTATGAAACTGAACCCTTTATTTTGTTCCCAAGGACACATAGCCCAGTAGATAAAAGTGTTGGTTGAAGTAATCAAGTGACTTCACCCAAAGAGTCGTAAGTTCAGTACCTGGCCACAGCAGAGATGAACGAAATCTTTGAGAGTTGAGTTACTAAGGGAAATAACTGAAACTGAGATATCCAGAAGATGCATGGCATGTGGAACTAGAACAATCTATCACCAGTGGATGAAATAAAGGGTTCTGTTTGAAATTCCAGTCACCTGAAGAAGTCTGGAGTGTACAACGTCCAAAATGTTGTGAATATTGCAACAAAGATGAGGACAACAGTTCGAACAATATAAATAGTATTGCTATTTCTTCTATTCCAAAGACTTGAAATTCCTTAAAGTATGTTTTTTAGTTGAATAATTAATTTTCAGAGATTAGATTAATTTTGTTTTGAATTAATCTGCAGGGGTAAATTGCTCTCATCCTGCTGTCTGTCCTTTTTTTTTTTTTTTTTAAATATATACTCATGTTCACTCAATACAAGACCCAAGAACAACTCAAGGTAGAGAGTTACTGTGTGAGCATAAGAGATAGCAAGTAGTGAAGTTCATATGGGCTATGCAGGAAAGATAACGGTTAATTCTAGACTTGAAGAGGTTAAGATTGTAATGATTGAGAAAACATCCTGCTAGGAGTCTGTCCTACAAAGCAGTAATTCTTAGGAAGAAGCTGTTGAAATGGAACCTTTTACTATTGGAATATGAAGGAAATGGGGATGATTCACTCTTGTGTATGTGGCATGGTGGGTCCTTATTGTCAAAGTCAGGGGTAGTGGGACTAAGGAATGTAGCTTGTCATAATACTTCATGTAAATTATGATAGAGTAACAAGAGACTGCAATGTTTCATCTGTAGAATGGGTTGTAGTGTGGACAGTAATTCATCACCCAAAAGGACACATAGATGTTTTTGAACTCTATCAAGACAAGTGAGGACTGGGCTGTTCCAGCCCAGATAAGGCAGCAATAATCCATTTTCGATCTGACATGGCTCTTGTAAAGAGTATAGCAGGGGAGTCAGATACTTACTGGAGCGGTACATTTTTCCATCATCTTTAGCAATAAATCAGGTATATGAGTTCCACTTGAGGTAGGGGGGTGAGCTGTCTTGGTATCTTGTTTCCTTTTTTGGTACTGCTCGGTTATAGCTAATCTTGATTCCACTGCATTTTAGTACATCTGCACGACCCAGACCAGTGATTTAAATTACATTTGGAGCATGGAATGAGAACAATTTATTCCTGTAGATTGAACAAATGGTTCAGTTTGAAATTTCTTGAAAGTTACACAAATTGGGAGCTGAACAAGTCTGGAGGGCACAACATTCGAAACATTGTGATAGTAAAAAGAAAGATAAGGACCTTAGTTCAACTGTAAATAATTAAAAGAGGATAAATTTTTCTTTTTTTTACTTTTAGAGGACTTTAAAAACAAATTTTTATTATTGTTCTCAAAAATAAAATATTTTTATGTAGCATTAAAAGAGATCTTTTAAGAATCTCCATAACTTGCTAAAATTCAATAGCTGCAAATAAAAAAGAAATTGTATTTTGTTTTTCAAAGTGTATCAACATACTTATATCTGGTTACAGAAAAAGAGTTAAAATATTAATTACTGTGGCCTTCACAAATAAAACAAAAATAAACTTGCAATTTTGTGACAAAAAGAAAAGATGTGAAAATAAAACAAAAATGCAATTGTAAAGAACTAAACTGCGTTATCGTTTTTCAAATCTTTTATGGCAAAAGCAATTACTTGAAAATTATACAATGAACAAGCAGTGTTCAAACAGCTTCAGATTGAATTTT